TTACCGGAAGTTTCCTTACTAAAGATAATAAAACCGGTCAAGTGCTGGTCGGACTCCCACATGAAGGGTTCCGTACCATCGTACAGGATATAGCGCTGTGTACTAATCGATTAATTTTACTATGGTATAAGTTACTCCTTAGCTATCTGCTAGTGAAAGTCCCGTCAAAATCAGACCAATCGTTTCGGAGATTAGCCGAAACAAACAGACAGACAAAAATTTAAAAATCGTGTATCGTGTATAATTTCATATGCATTTAGCTGTCATTTTATTATTACAAACGGACACTACAATTTTATTTATCTGTATAGATAACACCACAATATAGCTTTATTATTTACTAGCAGAACCCGCGGCATCGCTCGCACTAAATCTACAAAAAACTCTAAAAAATTGATTTCATATACTTTCACCCTCTATTTTACACCCTTATGAGATGAATTTCGAAAAATGCTAAAACACGTATTTATTTAACAGTATTGAAGAGCATTAATACAAAGTGTCAAGTAATTCTGATTTTAAATAATTTTTGGGTTGTATTATAACGTGTTTTACCGTGGGAATGAGATTATATCCCGCGGTAAGAAGTAGCCTATGTCACTCTCCAGCCCTCCAACTATCTCCACACAAAAATCACGTTAATCCGTCACTCCGTTTCGACGTAAAAGAAAGACAAACAAACAAACACTCTTACATTTATAATATTAGTATGGATTAGTAAATAAATAACAATATATGCGTACTGTAGATACAGAACCTTGGTGCGCGAGCGCAATTCGCGCTTGACCGATTTTTGTACGTAAGCATAAATATCTAATTTTAAATGAGATGTTTCCTTTAAAATCACTCGAGTAATTCGCATGGCTTGCTTGCAAGGTTGCATACTAAATTATACTCATTCTTTATGTTTTGAACTAAAAACTTTATAAGTGTACTTACAATGTTATGTATAAATTAATATTATATATATGTTTACACATATAATAAAATTGTAACTAAGTCGAATCTGTACATTAAATATTTTTTGGAAAATCTTATCGAAATAGTCATCATTGTCGTTACAGAGGCAGAATCTATAATTTTTAGAATTTTTGTCTGTCTGTCTGTTTGTGACCGTATCATGAGTACACTGCTGGATAGATTTTGATGAAATTTGGTATTATGATAGCTGGTTATCCGGGTCAACATGTAGGATACTTTTTACTGCGGGAAAATATCGCATCTCTGAGAAATCCATATTAAAACTTAATCTAAGAATTGTTTTATTCAAAAAATACCCCATATTAAGGTCATTAGACTATTCGTAGCTTTAGTTTCCTAATAACAATTTTTTGACCGATTTCAAAAAGGAGGATGTATTATATACTAGCACTCACCCTCTCTTCGCTCGGGTTCGTCCCTAGCTTTGTTCCCCATACAAACTTTCATCCCTTTAAGGGATGATGTTTAGGATAAAAAGTGTTCTATGTCCTTCCCAAGGTTTCATACTATCTTCTTACCAAATTTCATCACAATAGGTTCAGTAGACCTAGAGATTACCCCCCACAACGTCACAAACTCACAAACTTTACTTCTTTATCATATTAGTATAGATTACTAAATATACATGTACGAGTATATTTTTGTTTATATCCTAGCTGATATCTTCACTAACTGTCTATCGATAATATCATAATACATCTTCATCAATTATTTGTACCTCATGGATGGTCTCATATAAAATTGCACCTCTATAGGTGGCATTCTTACTTTTTACCCGACTGCGATGAAGCCCAAAGGAGGGTTATGTGTTTGACCTGTATGTATGTATGCATTTTTGATTCTAGGTTCGTAATTACTAAACGACTTAACCGATATTGATTATTAATCATACGTCATTCGGTTTGTATTGATAACGCGAGTGTTATAGGCTATAGAGATATTATTAAAAATCAAAATGGTGGCTCCTAGGCGCCAATTTGAATCTTCAAAAAAAAAATCATCTGAATAAATCGAGTGGGGTATCAAAATACAGGTTTTTGAACGGCAATTACAAAAATATCTATAACTTATATGTTTAAAAGAATTTTGGGTTAAGAAATTGTTTAATAAAACTAAAAATGTCAATGTGTCCAAAACTTAAAAGCTGTAAATAAAAAAATATATTTACAAAAACAAAAAAAAATCTCGACTGCTTAAAAAACGAACTCAAAAGAAAAGAACAAGTTGACGAAGGAACATTATCGTGCTACTATTAGGTACTATGTTATACATAAAACTGTATGCAGTCGAAGACATACATATATGTACAATGTACATGTTTTAGACAGTGTATGCCTCCGACTGATAATACCATATTCTTTCGTCAAATTTCTCTTTTCTTTAGTCGGGTTTTTAAGCAGCTTTGAAGTTATTTTATTTTTGTTATCTGTCTGTTTGCCTATTTATACATTCTAGTGTTCGCGTAGTGAACGGAACTCGACCACAATCATTATTGAAAATTTGATGAATGAAATGTGATGATGTCCTGACCCATTCCGGCTACGGCGGCCAATCTCATTGAGACTAGCCAACTGCGCAGGAGATATTATAGTGCACAAGTGTACGCGCATACACAAGTGCACACTCTATTCCTGTTACTCTCATACTCTGGTGGGACGACCACTCGACACGACCAGTGAGAGTTTAGGCGCAGGACCGACGGCATTACGTGCTCTCCAAGGCACGGGGGTGAAACACCGCCAACTTCCCAACTCCGGGCTGTTACTGAGGCTTAATATACAGAAAGGCTCTATAACTTAACTTGGCCGGACCCGGGACTCGAGACCAGAACCTCCGGGTGTGCAGCCGTACATGCTAGCCACTACACCACCGAGGCAGTTAAAATGATATGAATGAAATGTATTTCCATTTTTAATACATATAGCATACTAAACAAAAATAAAAGAAAATCGCTTAGCAAAAAATGACAGAAATTCACTTATTTTAGCAAGACTGACTGGTATAGTGGGATCTAATCGTGAGATATACTCTTTATTCACGCGGTACCTATAAGAATTAAAAGTTTTATCATTTTTTTGGCTAGAGGTGCATGAGGTGGTTTTCTAGTCGACCCTGTGCTTACTCTCTCAATGTAAGTGTCGAATTGTCATCCCACCGGACTAAGAGAGTGACAGGAATAGAGAGTTCACTTGTGTTTGAACTCATATCTTCTGCACTCATGGCTAGTCTTAGTGAGATTGATAATAGTCAGCAAGTCATTTTAGTGTTTTTTGGATTTCCATAATTCTTCAGTACTTTTCTTTCCTATCCTTCTCTTTCTCTACTACAATATTCTTAAATATTTTGCCTTGCTTAACACTTTACTGTTCAGCCTGTGGTATCTCAGTAGTAACGCGTTTAGGAAACCAAGTGAAGCGGTTTTGCATCTCTGATATTTTTATGTACATGTTAAACATGATTAACTGAAAGAACCAAGCAAGTGTTCGAAAGACGTGTGAACTCCAACCCCCAGCTGTCCAGCCTCATGGACTATGGCCTGATCCTCCTCGTATTGAAGGGAGACCCGTGCCCAGCAGTTTGACGTTAAAAAGGGCTGAATACAACCCTTTAGGGGTTGAACTTTCGTTTAATTAATAATTTCTTTTATAAGTAAATATTATACTATATTCAACTCATATTTATAATGTATCACAGTCAGTGGCACACCACAATGGTAGGATATATTAGGTTTTTGCTTTAAATTCTGTTTTTGAGACAATAGCACGGGCGTCGAAGTTATCAGCTTTAATCAGACGCGCTTAGTATGGATACGACTGTCTATATAAAATATAAATGGAGAAGTTTCATGATGTTGTTAATATCATATTTAACGCGATGGAATTATAATGTAGATCAAAACTAATAAATCAATGAAAAAAATATTGAAATCTATCAACAAATGAGTGACAAACTAATTTAAATTTCGATCGTTCAGGTCGCGTGACGTCACGGAATTATTCTTACAAGCGCAAATTTAAAGTATCATAACTTTTTCCTGTGTTGAGATTTTTTAATAATTCTTTCATATTTTTGTTATATTTTACTTAAATTTTTATAATTAACACATAAAAAAATATAAGCTAAAAATGATAAATAATTAATATATAAAAAAATTGCGAACTTCTCCATTATAATGTAAATGTTCGTGAATGTTACTATGATATATCTTCACATATATACGTATATATGTAAATGAAGAATCTATATAAAGAGGTCGTTTTGAAATTTTGACACATATAAAGTGTTTTTATCTGTACGCCATATATTTTGCTGTAACCATATATTAATTTTTACGGACAAAGCCTAGTTAACAGTAATTTTGGAATTTTTAATAATATATTTATAGTAATAAAGGTATATATTCAAATGTAGTAACTTTGTAGTCACCTATACATATCACCTATATATACCTATATATATCTCTGATAATACGTTTTAGTGGCATTTCTAATTGCTATATTTTCTCCATAACAAATATTTTACAGAGGTTTATCCTATTAAATTGTGTATTGATATCAGTATTATTGTTATATAGTACACATATTGTATTATTTATATTTTATTAAAAATACTTTAAAATATTATATACACAAAATACTTGAATACTTTAATTTTTAAATAGTTAATAAGTATCAACAAATATTTTTTTGGCAAATTTATTATTTTGAAAATAAAAAATACAGGTCATGTCCATTCAATTCTAACAAGTATATGGCAGCTGCATATAAGCCTATGTCCGACAATACCGCCGTTCAGTCGAGTCGTTACGCGTTACCTCTGACCCACATAGTGCAGTTTTTTTTTCATTAAAAATATTATTTCCAGACAAAAGCTAAATTAATATTTTTTTCGAAAAAAATGACATTTTATATATTTAGGACTAAATATTAGATGATTGCTTTAGTAAATAAATTTGGTTACTAATAAAAAAAAATAGAAACTGTGGATTTTTTGTCGGATGATGTCAGTGTTGTGCAAAAATGAGGTGGTGTTTTGTGTTTTTGTTGTCTGTGCATCTTGTTGTCGGTTCGAGAGTGATTCTAGTGGAAAATGCGCCAAGTTCGTATATATTTTATTTTATTTAATTAACATATAAAATGTTAACTGCAAAGAAATTAATCTATATAAAGAAGGATGAAATGCTTCACTTTGATATATTCGTTGGTAAACACGTCGTTGGAGAATTTTTATTTTAAAAATAAAAAAAATATGATGAGTGTGTGTAAATTTTATTCGCGATTGAAGTAAAACTTCTTTGGCGTTGTGACAGATACCGCAATTAAATTAATAGTTTTAGTTTATTTGTGACATTTTAATTCTAAACAAATCAAAATATTATTTTTTATAAAAAATATAGTAATATTTATCACTATAATTTTTATAAGTCATAATTATAATAAAATTATTATTAATAATGAATATATCTATTCATATAATAAAATTCTGAGTCGAATCTGCACATTAAATATAAAAAAAATCTTATTGAAATACCTAGTCATTATTAGAGAAGCTAAATCTACAGTTTTTAGAATTTTTGTCGGTCTGCCTGTCTGTCCGTCTAACTGTCACTCTGTCCGCCTGTGTCCGCCTGTCTGTGACCGAATCACGAGAAAACAACTGGACAGATTTTGATGAAATTTGGTATGATGATAGCTGATTATCCGGGTCAATATATAGGATGCTTTTTACTGCAGGAAAATATCTCATGTGTGAAAAATCTATGCTAAACGTTAAAACGTAATAATAACTTCCGTTCCTACGTATTGACTTACCCCTCAGTCACGTCTGAAGAAGTTCTACTTCAAAAAATCGAAAAATTCAAGAGAAACTAAAAATGAACTTAAAAATAATAAACAAATTTTTATTATTATAATTATTTAAAGATTAATGATAGCATACTGAGTTGCAATATTGTTGCTTGCAGAAGTCTAAATCGTGTGGTGTTTAGATGAGGATCTAACTAATTTGTTTTTTATTTTCCTATGAAATTGTGATTATCTGCTATATTCCTTCAATCAACTTTAATATCTAATTTCAAGTAACTTTAAAAAGAAGAAGGTTTTCAATTCGGCTTTATGTTTGTTACCTCAGAATTCCGGTATTTATTAATCGATTTAAACAATTTTTGTTTTGTTTAAAAGTGTATACTTTCAAGTTGGTCAGATTTTAAAATGAAAAAAAGTACCTTCCCTAAGGGTGGAGAAATAAATATTTAACATTTTACCTATTTCTAATTGTCATATTAACTTAACTGCCTCGGTGGTGTAGTGGCTAGCATGTACGGCTGCACACCCGGAGGTCCTGGGTTCGAGTCTCGGGTCGGGCCAAGTTTAGTTATTGAGTCTTTCTGTATAGTAAGCCCCAGTAGCAGCCCGGAGTTAGGAAGTTGGCGGTGCTTCACCCCCGTGCCTCGGAGAGCACGTAAAGCCGTCGGTCCTGCGCCTTGGCTCTCATCGGTCGTGTCGAACAATCGTCCCACCGGAGTATGAGAGTGATAGGAATAGAGAGTGCACGTTGTGTCTGCGCGTACACTTGTGCACTATAATATCTCCTGCGCAGTTGGCTAGTCTCAATGAGATTGGCTGCCGTGGCCAGAATCGGTCAGGAGAACGTCATTCATTGAGTTGATAGTGCAGTAGATACTTTGAGTTTGGGCTTATTTGTTTGATTTGACAAGCCCAATACGTTGGAATTGGATTTTAGAGCTCGATTCTTAGTATTAATAATAATAATAGCGAATTTTAGTTTATCAGTCCTCATAAAAAATTGGCATCAATCTAATTTAAACGGCTTAAGCGAATATTTTATTGAAATACTTTTTTCTTGCTTTGTTACTACTATGTCTACACTAAAAATGGAAAAATATATTTTTTTAAATAAATAAAAACCTACTTAAAAACACTATAAAGTAAAAAAATAACTGATAGGTAGTTTTCATTTACTATAGATACCATCCAAACAAACAACAAATCAAAGCACACAGCCTTTGAAAATATCTGATTAGGTATTTATAGTAAATAAATACTACCAATCAGTTATTTTTTACTTTTTGATGTTTTTTTTGAAGTCGGTTTATATTTAATTTGCTTTTATGCAATCGGTTTGTAATTATGTATTTATATAGTTTATTTTTATTTAAATTGTTACATAACAATGTTTCTTAGATTTACATGAATATTTGTCAATTTTTAATAAAACTATCTTTTCGGGTGTTTCTTGGTTGCCGAAGTTTCGAATGTTTTACAGAAATCATGGTCACGGTAAGGACATGGTTTTATCAAGAAAATATCAAACATAATTCTCAATAAACCCGCGAAGAAATCCGAAAAGGTTCAAAATTTATACAACTATCTTTACCTCTTAAATATTAGTAATATTCTTATAGAATACTAGAGACTCAACCTCGCTACGTTCGGGTTCGTCCTTGGGTATGTTGGATGACAAACAAACAGACAAACAGACATACAAAAATTCTAAAAACTATAGATTCGACCTCTATATCGATAATAATGACTTTTTCAATAAGATTTTCTAAGAAATATTTAATCGACTCAGTTAGAATTTTATTATATGTATAGAAAAACTAATTTACTTACAATGAATAAAGTAATTTATTTAAGTTAATAACACAGAGTCAGTAGGTCAGTTTTAATGATATCATTATGTGCGATCTCCCTTTTTATATGTAAAAATCAAGGTTGTTTTTTATACATTAATGCATTGAATCATCAGCTATTTAGAGCGCTAGAGGTGATTTTAAGTTTTTGTCTCATTTAATCGTAGGTTTTTTAATAATAGTCTATCTACGGCTTGGCTTGCATGTATTTCATGTTACTAATATATATGAAAAAGTTTTTATGTATGTGTGTGTATGTTTGTTAATCCCTAAAGGATTACTATAGGATCTAAAAATGCTGGACTAATTTGGATGAAATACTTTTTTTAATGTTGGGAATGCCTTTCTGCACACCACCTGTAGACATACAGGTGGTTATGTGTGACTCACCGGCTGGAAAAGCCAGTACTACCCACTAAAACCCAACAAAACCTCCTCCGTCTTAATGGGGCGTCGCACGATCACTTATAAACTCAACCACGACCGACCACACCCCGCCGGCAGGTCTGCCGAAGACCACAATAGCCATGGGGTTGCTCCAACAGTCCTCTCTGCTATCAGAGAAGTACCAGTAGCAACCCGCATGGTACACCACCCACCGAGGTGGGCAGCCTCCCAGTGCGTTTCTTGGCTTCGCGCCCGGCTGGATTGCCGGACGATAATGAACCCCTCCCCCTTACCCCACGACAAGGTGAACGCACTTTTGAGGGATAAAATAAGCCTGGAGTAACACATAGGATACTGTTATGCTTCTAGACATGCACCCGAGCACAGCGATATTGAATCGTTAGTTCTATATTTTTAAGAGATCGGGTAAGTACAAGCGAATTTCTATTGCTAAAGCGAATTCTTAACCTTTTTGATTTAAGAACATTTCCATATGTTACCGTTAATCTGCAATTGCGAATTTAAAGATGCAGAATGTTTACTTAGTTTTAATGTATGGGACTCGTATTAAGTCAAATAAGCCAAACTCGAGAGTTCTACTTAGTAGCCATGAAGAATTCTCGTATCCACCTTCTGGCTGTATCGTGGATCAGATAGATTTAATAAATTTTTTGTATTATCATTTGGATTATATACATATCATAACAAAGTTTGAAATGGATACGACAATTAGAAATAGGTTAAAAACGATTTTCAAAATTTCCATATACACATTGTTTTTTAATTGTATACCTCATATACGGATAAAGAAATACCAACATTTAACTAGCGGACCCGACAGATGATGTTCTCTCCAAATATATATATATATATAACGAATTTCTTTTGTGTTTGCCCCTGTTTAGCAGATTAGGTGGCGATGCCATTGGGTTCAAGTATTTTTTGTTGACGAAAATTTTATTTTTAGTTTTTTAACATTTTTTTATATATTATCATATAATAACTCCATAATTTCTTTACAAGGGTAGCCTCCTAGCCTTGAAAGAGCAAGGCTGGGCAAAAAAAATCCCCTGTGTCGACCGATTTTTCTTTTGTTTAGTAGCTATTGACGAGTTTTAGTGTAACCAATAAAAATATAATAACATTATATATAAATAATTTTTACCTATATATATATATATATATATATATATATATATATATATATATATATATAAATTATTTTTATATACAAATAGGTAAAAGTTATTCATATAAATAAATGTTTTCCGTAAATTTTCATTAATGATCAAGCTCGAATTTCGACCACTACTATATTAATTACTACTACGATAATTTCATTATCACAAATACTTCATATATATATATAAAATTTTCGCATTACAGTATGTCACATTTGGTTATATACGTTGGACAAAAAGAAAATATAAAATAAAAAACAACGTCCGTCATTAATCTACAGAACATATTTTGCGGAATATCGTAAAATGCATTAAATGTTGCCATTTTTTAAATTACAATTTAAAGTTTTTATTAATATAACCTATAGAATATACCGTTGAGAAATGTAAGAGCTATAATAGAAATTTTCCAAAAAGATATCGATTTTGTATAATTTGACATTACTTTAATTATTTAACACTTTTTGAATTATTACAGCGTGTTTCAAACGAGTTTTAGCGGGAAAGAGAGCGCTCCGAAGTCACGTACGAAGGGTTGTGGATTGCGAACGTCTCGAAGACTGTAGACGAGAGTGTGCTACAGAAAGAAGATTTCATTGCGAGAGCTTTAACTATAGGTATGTAATACATATTAATAAAATAAAATACAAGTAAATCTGTCTGTCTGTTATATTGCTCCTATGAACTGCTGAACAGATTTCGATGTGTAATAACAAGGATTGCATTATGGGAATGACAGTGGGATGATCTTTGATTTCCGTCCGCTCACCACACGAGCTGAGGCCGAGGGAAAACTAAGATGTATATAAATACTGATCTTACTAGGTGGACCCCTAAGTGGGAAATACACACAAAAGATACAGAATGACTGTAATCAATATTTGTATAATAAATACAAATAGTCCGCCAACCCGCCCTTGATCAGCGTGGTGGACTTCGGCCCGATGGCCGATCCGCCTCGTGTTGAAGGGAAGCCCATGGCTAGCAATGTGACATTAAAAAGGGCTGAATCTATACTAATATTATAAAGAGGTAAAGTTTGTGAGCTTGTGAATTGGGAGTTTGCGAATTGTGAGTTTGTGACGTTGTAGGGGTAATCTCTGGATCCTCGAACCGGGTTAGATGAAATTTGGTAAGAAGATAGTTTGAGGCCCTGGGAAAGACATAGAATACTTTTTATCCCGGAAATCATCCATTAAGGGGATGAAAATGGGGATGAAAGTTTGTATGTGGAACCTAGGAAGCGAGGGTGAGGGCTAGTATATAATACAAATACATCGGACCGGGATTCGAACCTGTAATCAGAGGCGTATAGATGGATACTTTTATTGGAATATGATAAAAGCGATAGAGAATCTAAAAATATCTTTATTTTAAACTAGCGGCTCACCCTCGCTTCGCTCGGGTTCGTCGCTAGGTACGTTTTAATAAATAGATATAAATAGTTATTAGCCCGCGTTAGTCATATAATTTTTTTTTGTTAATAATATTGACATTAATATTTATACGATACTAACGTCACTCAATTGTTTTGCCTTCCCGGAACCTCTGCACTAACACTTAAACTTTATGGTATAGTATTAAAGTTCAAATTGACTTTTAAGTATTATTACGAATCTTTTGTATGGGAGAACCATCCTCTTACTTCAAGAAATAGCCTAAAAAAGAATTAGCGAAATCGGTTCAGCTGCTCTCGAGATTTGCGCTTACCAACACAATCAGCGATTCATTTTTATATTATAGATTAGCCTATTTCTATAACATCTCCGCTCTCTTCACATCTACAATACTATTAAGTTATAATAAACCAAAAAATTGCTTACATTCCCTTTACTTATATATAAATACAGCCAGTGTTTCCTATTGTTACTTTGTGTTACCTTTGTGTTACAACGTGTCGTCAAAAAAATTTCATTTATTCGTTACAAATATTTATCGTCGTGTATTTATCGTTACAAATATTTCATTTATTCAAATACGACAGTTACTTTATTAAATTCGGTTTTCAAGATTTGCTTCATAGGTGACATTAATAAAACAAATGCTTAACGAGCGACTCACCCTCGCTTCGCTCGGGTACGTCCCTACGTACGTTTTAATTTTTTGGAGCGGAACCCTAATTCTTTTTGTAAAATAAAAGTAACCCATGTTACTCCCAATAACTTCTGCTGTCTTCCAGTGAAAATCCCGTTAAAGTCAGTCCAGCCGATACAGAGATTATCCGTAACAAACAGACAGACAGACAAAATTTAAAAAAACATGTGTTTTCTTATAAGTACCGTATATAATTTCATATGCATTTAGTAAAACGCTGTTATTTAGACATTATAAACAGACACTTCAATTTTATTTATCTGTATAGATAAGTACTGTACAAGTCCTATGGTGCTATTTTAGCAAGAATGCATTCAAAACAAGCCACCTCACTGTCACAAGTGGACATGAGAATTCGAAGTGTTACGTCTTTTAAGAACTTTTTTTTATATAATTACTTTTTGATTAAGAAAATAATTATTAAAAATGCAAATATCACCTATATTTGCATTTTTTAATAATTATTTTCTTGGAAATTCAAAGTAGTTGAAACGCACGCCATTGGTCAGACCGAATATGACGTCAAAGTATTATCATAACAGAGCGATTAGCGATTTTGTCGCTTCAAACTAAAGTGGTTATTTTTCTATGTACGATACTTTGACGTCACGCCAAGCGCGCGAAATGGCGGGCGTGTAAAGTATCCGTATCGGTATGATATATTTTCTTATACTAAATTTTGGTTTTTTGTAGTTGGATATTTTTTTACAATTATATAACGACTAGCAGAATCCGCGGCTTCGCTTGCACTAAAACTACAAAAAAGTCCTTAAAATGGTAGTTTCATACAACTTTTATCCTCAATTTTACCCCCTTATAGAATGAATTTCGAAAAATGCTAAAAATCTTTTTTTTTATTTTATTGAACAGAATTAATACCAAATTTCAAGTAATTCTGATCATAAATATTTTTTGGATTATATTATATCGTGTTTTCCCGTGGGAATTAGATAATCTCCCGTGGTAAAAAGTAGCCTATGTCACTTTCCAGCCCTCCAACTATCTCCACACAAAAAATCACGCCGATCCGTCACTCCGTTTCAACGTGAAAGAAGGACAAACAAACAACCAAACACACACATTTATAATATTAGTATGGATGTTAGCTATTGTATAAAAAATTAAAAAAAATCACGCATATTTTCTATACTGTGGAAATTGGTTTCCATTTTAAAAGGTTATAAACAAAAATTTTACTCAATCTTAAATTATACTACATGTAACAATTTCCTATTCGTATGAGTAATTTGAGACATAATGCGAAATATTCGTAGTATCATATATTCGCATAAAAAGGTGTGTCGAATGAACTAAATAATTTCATAAATCTGTTACTCTCTCACGAGCAGTTCGCAGTATTGTTAGTTCCTGATGTAGAGGTTGTGGGCAATTTATTGTCATATTTTTTATTACTACTTCTGATATCTGATGATGCAAGGTTCCAGTGAAATAGATGAGTTACGTTCATCGATTTTTAACGTTTAGAAGTAATGAACTAGATGAGATTTATAATTGGGGAAACAAAGCTTGTTCATATACTAAAACCTTCTTCGAAACACGCTGCATCTTATGGTATGAGTATTATTCCGATCGGTTCAGTAGTTATTGCAGTATAACCGAACAAAAAATTGACTTTCCATTTATTAGTATTCTAGCACAACCCGCGGCTTCGCTCGCGTTAAAACTACAAAAAAACTCTAGAAAGGTAATTTTCATACAAACTTTCATCCCTTATTTTACCCCCTTATGGAATGAATTCCGAAAAATGCTAAAACAAAACTAACTTATTTTACCAATTTCAAGAACATAGACATATAAACCTAACCAAAAAAGCTTCTAAACGCTTTTGCTGGTGCCGCCTTGTCTCAAAGTATCTTTAAATTATATATTTATTAATATATACAAAAAATTGTGATGATTGGACATATTACAACTCTCATGAATAGTTTAATTTAAATCAATTGTTCACTACTAATAAAAACTCCAATAAAAACTTGGCCACTAATAAGTTTTTGTTGAAGTCGTTGCTTATGATTATATACATTCTAATTTATTTTTTACCATTTTTAGGGTTCCGTACCCGAAGGGTGCCAACGGAACCTTATTACTAAGCCTCCGCTGTCCATCCGTCAGAGAGCTGTATCTCATGAACTGTAATAGGTAGAAAGTTGAAATTTTCACAGCATGTGTATTTCTATTACCGCTATGACAACAATAATAAAAAAAACCAAGATGCCGTATTTAAAAAACCTGCCATAGAAATTTAAAAAAAAAACGATTATGTTAAATGTTAAATAAACTAAAAACAAATATTGTGTAAATTCTTATGTATTCTCAGAACTTTTTATTTCTAACTAGCGACTCACCCTCGCTTCGCTCTGGTTCGTCCCTTGGTGATTCTTTAAATTGACATAAAATTTTTATTTGAATGAACCGATTAAAATAAAACGAATATTAAATGTTAAATAAGCTTACCGCAATATATTAATGAAAAGTTCATCCAAATCGGTTTCGGTCAAGCACAGACGAACAGATAAACCGACAAGCAGACAAAAATTCTAAAAATCACTGTTTTGGGTTCAATTGCGCTAGTAATAATTTTTCTCAAATATCTTCCATTTACAGACTATCAGTTACATTTTTATTATATATTATTACTAGCGGACCCGACAGACGTTGTCCTGTCTACACGTCTTTAATTTGAAAATTTCAAACTTTTTTTAATAATTTTTTTGATGAAAATTATTATTCAAATTGTGAATCTAAACCATTTCCAGATCCCCTTGAACACACACAAAAAATTTCATCAAAATCGGTCCAGTCGTTTGAGAGAAGTTCAGTGACATACACACTCACAGAAGAATTATATATATAAAGATAGATTTATTATAATTCTTTTCATTCCCTATTGTGTACTTCAATGATAACTATAGAAAATGACATATCTAAGTAAAAACAAAAATGTGAACCCTTCAATATAACCTCGGCCAAATCAGCTTTAGCCATCTGCATTGTGTGCTCACCTTGCGGCGTTACAGGGACGGATTGACGGAAATTATGATAACATGAGAATTTTATTATTTTTAATTACTTATTGTGTAGATATCAAGATAATTTACAAGATGCTGTCAAAAAGTTTTAATACCCCTTGAATACATGATTTGATAAATCTAACAATATACGTTGCATTCTCGTTTTACCATGGCTTAGTAAATATTGGCATGTACCTTACCCTGGCTGAGTTACGAATTGTAATTATATTATTTATCGAATTTATCTGCATATTGTAAGATCCTGGACTAGAGGCCCAAGCCCGGTATGAAATTAGAAAGTTAGAGTTGCATCTTTAAAAAACATACGGCATATGTTATCAAACAATTATCCTCAGCAAAACTGTCAGGAGAGCCTATTTATCCTACTAATCCAAACTAATATTATAAATATGAAAGTAACTCTGTCTGTCTGATACGTTTTCATGCCCAGGCCACTGAACTAGTGTTGATAAATTTTGATATAGAGATCGATAGCCTTAGATTTTGAAATAAGTAATATAGCTTACAGAGTAAAATATTTTAATTTTTTTTAAGCTTACAGAGTAACACAGACTATAATTTTTAAAGATATAGATAAATTAAATACATAATTGAAAATGCGTACGGAGCCGCGTGAAAACGCTAATATTTGATTAAATTAATATTTTACCTCCACAGAGCTCCAATCTTTTAAACTTTTTTTTCAGTGACTGCATCTTTATCCACCAAGCATTGAAAGTAAATTTCATACGATACCTAAATTTTACCTAGACCTAAATTTTAGGTCAGAAGACCTGAATTTTAGATCTACATAAATCACATTATTATTATTATGTGTACTATTTCAAACTTTTCAATATGGTTACGGAATTATGACATTAAAGATTTTTATTTTATTTACATAGTAACAGCTTCTTTACATTTTATTAGCGTTACGTTTTAACGTTTAGTATAGATTTCTCACAGATGACATATTTTTCGGCAATAAAAAGTGTCCTATATGTTGACCCATATAACCAGCTATCATCATATCAAATTTCACCAAAATCCCTCCAGTGAATTTTCCGTGATGCGGTCACAGACAGACAGACAGACAAAATTCTAAAAACTATATATTCGGCCTCTGTATCGATAATAATGACTATTTCAATAAGATTTTCCATAAAATATTTAATGTACAGATTCTACTCAGTTAAAATTTTCTTATATGTATAGACCAAACTGTCCATTGCATGTTTTTGCATTAATAATTGCAACATCCCTATAACTATACCATTGCAAAGTCCGACTCTGACCAATAAATAATACAAGCAATAATTTGCATAAAGATTCATCTCTCGTGTAACGTAATAGTGACCTAAATGAACACCATCATAATTGGGCCACTCTCAAGGCTGCTATGAATAGGCAATTTAAAATAAAATAATACAGTTTTGTACACAGCTTCACTTGCGTGTTATCTATATAAATAATAAAATTCTGAGTCAAATCTCTACATTAAATATTTTTTGGAAAATCTTATAAAAATAGTCGTTATTATCGATATACAGGCAGAATCTATCGTTTTTCTTAATTTTCGTCTGTCTGTCTGTCTGAGAACACATCACGAGAAAACTACTGGACAAATTTTGATAAAATTTGGTATGATGGGAAAATATCTCATCTCTGTAAAATCTATACTAAGCATTAAAATGTTCCTAGAGACAAACCCGAGGGTGAGTCGCTATTAGGCTATATAAATATTTATTTACCGATAGCTTCAGACTACGAAAAAGAGAGCGCGTAATCAATGAACATAACTTTTTTTAATTGTTTTATTTAACGTTTTTTCTCACAGATTAGATCCAACATTTAGAGGCAAAGGCTTATGCGAGCTGATGACAAAACCAATCGAAGCATTCGACATCCACCAGGACTTTGTAGAAGATAAAGACTTCGATTTCTACGAACTCGACCGAAATAGCCTGGAACCTTACTGTCCAGAAACATTAAGAGGACCAGGGCTTTTACATTCTGGTTTTTTATCCTCAAAATCTAAGGGGCAAGAGCAAAATAATTGGAAAGATAGAATTGATTATTCCGAAACTGGCCACAAAAGCTATAATAGGTTCTACGATGAGCGAAGGACGCAATCACATAATAGACGCTACGAAGACCAATTTTACGTTCCATATCAAATAGGTAAGTATTGTTCAAAATCATAGTTATTGAACAATATATTCGAAAATTGTCTTTAATTGTGGAATTCTTTTAGTAACTAAGGTCATACTATTTTCTACTTCACCGTATATAGGTTGAATATTTAATGATAGGTAACAGCGAATGCTTATTTAGAGAGGTGATTTGGGTATCTTATGATTATTCAAAATTAACTTACCCGGATTCGAATCTGTTGGCTTTGAAATTAAAATGCTCGGTTATGAGCTATCAGGGTCCATCTGCTATAAGAATTAATTTTTGAAAAGTAAATGACATATTAAGTGGAAGGAATTAAAATAATATGCCCATTTTTCATTTTTTTTTAAAGTTTTGGATCTCACCATGAATTTATACTTGAAAAATTCTATTATGTTTATTAAATGAGTTCGATTCTCGCTTGTGACAGATAATTGCTTGAATTATAAATGATATTAACGTAAAGATGGACAATAACTCTAAAATTTCATGGTCACTGACTATATTATGATGATATAAAATGGGATATTTAACATCTTTAGCACTTTTGAGAGTTCCAAATTTTTCGGCACTGTACGAGCCATGGGCACGGGTATACTCGTATACCTGTAGGTAAACCCATGACTATAGCACTTGTAAAAGTGCCGAAATATCGACCACTCTTAAAAGTACGTGCTAAACACAGTATATATCCCGACTTGAATCATAATAATAAATGTGGGCTCTTCCCTAAGTAATATATGTATAGGAAACGACATAAAAACGGTACATGAAGATTGATAAATGGAAAATTAACTATATTTTATATACAACATATTATTTATCTACATAATAGGGGCCATTCAAATATTTAAAATTTAGTACATTTTGAATTGAGGTGTGATGTTTACGTAAGCACAGGAGGGGGAGTAAGAGCATTGCCTACTTTTCCTTACATGGGGGAGGGAGAAGTTGATAATCACTAAAATTCTGCTTAGGTAATACTTGAATGGCCCCACATAACGTATTGCAATTCGAATGATTTTTACACTGAGTATATAGTGAGTGACGGCGATAGAAATATTAATTTTTAACCGACTTTCCAACAAGAGGGTACGTGTTTTTTGGTACCAGATGCTGATTTTTTTAAAATGTTTAATAGGGTACATGGTCGAAAAAAATGATATAACACAAAAAATTGTCTTGCAAAAGTATATTCAAAGACAAAAATTTCTCTGTAGATCATTTGGAAGGCAGTATGTTTCTTAATATTACCCATAATCATTAAGTACTTACATTTTACAAGCAGTTATTATAACTATATGCTAAACAAATGGGTGCTGCGTGAATTATTTTTAGCTATGATTGCATTTTGCTCAAATATGAGACTGTAAGGTTTAAGATTAAATATATCATACACAAAATAAAATGCTTTATAAGTCATTATAATGTTGTTTTCTTTAGTCAAAATTCCTTTATTACCTACTTTTAAACGTAGCTCGTCAAGATTTCAAATGTATATCTACCTATTATTATTAGATACTACTACTAATTAAATATAAGATAAAGTAATGATACAAAAACAAATTACAAAAAATGTTAGTTTTATCATTAAGTGTTGTAAAAGTTTAGTAATAATTTCGAGAAGAGAAAATAGACAAAAATTTTGTTCATTTTTTATATTGATATTTTAGAAGCTTGCGTAATTTATAACTATTTAAGAGTTCAAATGTGTTCGAGAGTTTATATTAGTTAATATTTTTAAATTATATGCTGACGCCTGATTAAAAATAATGGCAATTACTTGTTTCGACATATTTGTTGTTGAATAAAATTATTGCAATGAACATAATATTAAACAACGTGAGAACCTAGACATTTGCATAATTATAATTTTAATAACCTAATCTAATTAAAAAGATTTTTTATGAATTATTATTTTATATATATATATATATATATATATATATATATATATATATATATATATATTAACAGACTGTAAAAAGGAGATCTTAAATTTGGTTTTAGGTATGTTTTTTATAGTATAAAAACAGAGTAACAAGTATGAATAAATATAATAAATATTTTATTACAAAACACTTAAATTAATTTTACACATAAAAATAACAAAAGTAATAAAATAAATTCATTTAGGCATTGATCGAATAATAGCTAAAATAAAATTAAGTAAAAGAGGTTAAAATAAATAAATTTATGGTCTTAGTATCTCTGCTTATCTCTGCTATTATTTGTAAGAACGAGTCAAAGCATTTATGTAGCTTTCTAAAATCTTTATATATATTTTTTAAATATAAGACCATAACTTTTTAATAATTAATAAATAAAATTTTACTTTATGTCTTATTTATTAGTACTCGTAGTAGACTAGTAGTTAAATAACAGTATCATATATTTTTTTATTTTTTATTTAATTAAAGAATAATTTATTGTCAAATATGACTTTTATTAAGGTATTTTAAATAAAATAAACAAAAACATATTTTACAGGTATTAAAACAAAACCAAATGACGATCGCGAAAAGTGGGGACAATATGGCGGCAGCTATGGAGGAGTAGACAGTTATTACAAAGATAGAAATGATTACCGAGATTCTGTTAGGCATTGGAAAATTTCTGATCAACCACCATACAGTCATGGTGTCAAAACCTATACTGAGGATAGAGATTTTGATTATCGCAGTCTTAGGACTAATAGTGGGCATGATAACTATGAATATGGATATGGTTCTTGGAAGAAGGGACAGTGGACTGGCTCCGGTAGTTTCTGGAAGGATTTTGATGCAAATGATTATCATCATCACAAGCATAGTTACGAATTTGAAGGCAGAAGCGAGGAGTCGGCTAAAGGTTTGGAGAATTTTCTATTTATAATACTGCTGATAGATATTTTCTTTGTTTTGCTATGCTTTTTCTTCCCCGTTTTCTTTTTATATTAAAAGCTGGCAGGATCCCCTTCATCTAAATAATGATAAGCTGGTTGAAAGAAGAATTTTTGAGCTTTCTGGAATACTAAATTAACAGTAGCTGTGACTTGGTTATATCGGATCCCTACTTTATAACAGCGACTTACCCTCGCTTTGATCCTTACAATGCCTTACAGTAGTAGAGTAGGAGTAGCGCATAGGGCGTTACTCCATCACGTCATATTCTATCTGTGTACTAAGTTTCATCAAAATCTGTCCAGCCATTGGAGCGTGGAAGAGTAACACACGTACACAATAATTACACAGATATAATAATGGACCGATGATTCAATTTTGTATATACCATAAATATTGCCATTTTATTGTGTGTATTGTATTCAACTCTTTTTAATGTTCCACTCTGAGAACGAGCCACCCTTCAAAACGAAGGAGATCAGGCCATAATCCACCACACTGGCCAAGGTTATGTTGGTGAATTTCACATGTCTTTCAAAAATTTGTTAGATTTTCTCAGACATGCTGGTTTCTTGACGATGTTTTCTTCACCGTAAGACCATTACCAGTATAGCAATTTAAATGTTACTTTTTTCAGATTGTTCATCTCGCCGTAGTCCCGGAATGTCGCTAGGTTCTGGCTCCATCAGACGCTCGTTGCTCGGGCATACTGTCGTCGAGTGTGAAGCAGCATGCTTTAATGAGAGGGAATTTAAATGTGTATCTTATAGCTACAGGTAAATCTTATTTTTATATATATATAAAAGAAAGTCGTGTTAGTTACACTATTAAAACTCCAGAACGGCTGAACCGATTTGGCTGAAAATTGGCGGGGAGGTAGCTTAGAACCCAGAGACGGACATAGGATACTTTTTATCCCGGAAATCATCCCTTGAGGGGGTGAAAATGGGAATAAAATTTTGTATGGGAAAGCAAGCTAGGTACGAACCCGAGCGAAGCGAGGGTGAGTCGCTAGTTATCTATATATAAATAGGCATGTACAAAACAGTTCAGCAGTCAGTTTTTCTCTCTCTTTGTCAACCGATTTTCTTTATTTTTGTTTGGTAGCTATTGACGAGCTTTAGTTATCAATACAACACAAAATTTGTTATCAATACAAAAAGTTTAAAAAATCATATAATATGTTTTCCCCAAATTTTCAACAATAATTATTATGATTGAATTTCTACCACTGGACTAAAATTAATTGTAAACTAAAGATGATCAGAGTTTCTGTCTGTTCAGGCTAACCTCAGAAACTATTGTTCGAATTTTTGTATGGTTTTTGCCAATAGAAAGAAGAATTATCTAGGGATAGGAAGGTTATAGGCTAATATTATTGAGTATTTATCGAAAATAAGATATCGGTATGACGATAATTGCAAATTAAGTCGGAAAATCGATCGTTTTGAGAGATAGTTTTTCTAAATGCGATGAGGATTTGGGGACCGCTAGTATTATTGTCTCATTTCAGCAAATTAGGTATGAAAAATTTTAACTTCACAAAAAAAGAAATCTCACTTCAGGGTCCAATATTCGCGTAAATCTAAGAAAACATTATAATAATATCTTACAATTCGAAGTAAGAAAGAAGGAAAAGTATACTTGTGAAGCAATTTGGGATCAATCAAGTAAAAAAATTATGGAAAATTTTGCTTATATCTATTTTTTAAATATATTTGGTACATATTGTATTGGTATTTTAAACACACTAAATGTTCAAAAAAAATTTACAGATATTCTAGCCCACCGGGTTCCGACAACTGTTTCTTAAGCGAACGTCCATACCAGGGGCTACAGATGTCGGCAGATAGTGGTTCTGATGTTTACGCGATGCCTATACATAAGGACTGCCTTACTATTAGTAGTAAACCTTGGGTTGAAAGCGGTAAGAAATATTTATATTGGAAATTATGTACTGAGAATAAAGTTTGACACGGGCTATTATCTGGCAAGTTGGTCTTCGCCTGTGTTGCTGCTGATACGTTAAATCTCTTGAGGAATGATATCCATCCAACCGCGTCAACGTGGAGGAGTAACAAACATATATACAGGCAAACACATACAAACTCTCGCATTAATAATAGAAATTTGATTTTAGAGTGCTTCTGGCACGTGCGATCTGGTGCAGCAGTGTCGGGTGTAGGGGTGCGCGCCGCTCTCACAGTGGCTGGGCTAGGAGCGTGCGAGGCAGAATGCTTACGTGCAAATGGCTTTTTTTGTAGAGGATTCAGTTTTAGGTGACGTGTTTTTATGTTTTAATCTTATTTATTTATTTTTGGAAACATAAGTAGAACTGAAATACTGCAAATAATGGATGAGAGTACTAGATTTTTGCTAGCTACCCTCAAATGTTAACAGAAAATGCATTTAAGTGCGCTGTTGGTATAAATTAAAAAAAAAGATTACGATCCAAAATATTTATTATGAACAGAAGCAGTTACAAAATTATTTTTTATTTATAATTATTACTTTGAGAAAGTTACGTTACTTAAATTAGCTTCTATTTGAAAGTTACATGTTAAAATAATGTCCTTTTTTTTAAAGTTTGTAATTTTTACACAAAAATAAAGCTAAATGCTACGTTTAGAATCACCATGTATAATACATATTATTATTATTACAATAAGATGTAAATCATACCTATATAGGTATATTTATTTTCATCTATATCTATTTTTTCTGTCTCTCAAAATGGTTATCGTATTGTATCTAAACAGGTTCGATCCACCAACAATAGGTGATGATTTAGAAAATTGTCTACTTACATCATCACCACCAACTTCACTCGAACTAAATCATGGTTTAAGACCAAGCAAGCACGAACTGTATGCGAGAGGCAACTATGGAAGAGGATGTGAACCTGCGCTATATGACGACGTTAAGAAGGAACCACGTAAGTTAAAAAAAAGCTACTCGTATGTTCCTTTCTTTCCGCCTTTTCGGTTTCGCCATAAACGGGTAATAATCGAAAAAAAAGAAAACCCGTTTTTGATCTATACAGATAAATAAAATTGATGTGTCTGTTTGTAATGCCAAAATAACAGCTTCTTACTAAATGCATATGAAATTATATACGGTACGTACCTACTTATAAAAAAGACAACTTTTAAAAAAATTGTCAGTCTGTCTGTTCCGGCTAATCTCCGAAACGTCTGGACTGATTTTGCTGATAGCTGGTGTTATAAGGAGTAATTTAGGTCACTTTTATTTAAGAAAAAGAATTAGGGTTCCGCTTAAAAAATAAAATGTACACGGGAGGCGAGGATAATTCACCAAGTTTTAAATAAAAATGTTCACATTAATACGACAATTAGAAGTAGGTAAGCTCGATTTGATTACTGAACCATTTTCGATAATTTTTTTCATAGATTCAAGGTGAAGGACGTTGGCCACCTATTATATCCGTCCCATTTAACATGCGAGCAGAGTCACGGATAAAAACTAGTTTAATAATTTACCATAAAACAAGTTGCAATAATAATAAAATTCAACATGTTTATTGTTTAAACTTTCAGAGTGTTACCTCCAGTATGAAAGCTCAGCAAAACTTTCCCCTAGTTCCATTCGAGGTCAAGCTCGGGCTAAAGACGAGCGCGCGTGTGGCAATGCCTGTACCGATGCACCTTTTAGATGCTTGAGCTTTTCTTTTAGGTGAGCATTTTTTAGGTTTACAGGCAAAATTATAATTTCATCATGTCTGTATGTTCGTAAATCATATCTATTTTAAATAATAATATGTAGTTGAAAGTTTGTTAGATGTCTAATATGTTAGTCAAATCTATACTAATATTAACAAGAGGCAGAGTTTGTTTGTTTGTTTGTTTGTTTGTTTGTTTGTTTGTTTGTTTGTTTGTTTGTTTGTTTGTTTGTTTGTTTGAACGCTCTAATCTCAGAAACTACTAATCCGATTTGAAAAATTCTTTTTGCATCAGATAGCCCGTTTATTGAGGAAGGGAATAGGCTATATCATATTAAATGTATAAAGTGCATTTATTTTATACTTACCGTTAAAACTTATCTAGGGACGAACCTGTGCGAAGCAAGGATGAGTCGCTAGTTACTAATAATAAAAATACAGCGTTTTATGTGAGCGCTGCCTTTGCTTAAAAGTAAAAGAATCTGTGGCAGATGTGATGTAGATCAATAATATTTCTACAAAAAATTCTACATCACTACAATAATTCTAACTTCTATATTTTAGCAGATGTAGTCGCTTTAATATTTAAAAATTATATTTTTTGACTAAGTAATTTTTAACCAATAATTTGAACTAGCTATATAATAATGATGATTATTTATTGTAGATAGCATTTTCCATCAGCCGCATAATGTGAATGTATACTTAAAAAAAAATGAAAAATGAAAAATGAAAAAATATAAGTAAAATATTTTCCCTTTTTTTTAATTTTACTTCCCACGTTTTAGTAATAATGCATCACCAGACAAAGAAAACTGTCTTCTATCAGAAATCCGACTCTTCGATCTTCATAGAGGAGTTGATTATGTACATTCTGATGACGATTTATTGTTCTCCTTCGATCTCTTCAATGGCCAATGTTGGAGAAAAGTTCATGGAAAAGAGGAATACGAGTACGTATAAGTAGTGTTGTATTAGTAGAGTAGTGTTGTAAATTAGCAACAAAAAAAATATCAAGTTTAAAAAATTAAACTATTAATTTATTTCATTTTTAATGTTATTTGGTACATAATGCTATTACTATTATAAAAAGTATTCTTCGCTTATGTCAATTCTATTGAAAAATTAAAAAATATATATATTTTAGTGTACCAACATTAGAGTTACCTCACCCACTATCAGCTCCAGCGATTGATGAATATCATGGACCAGCTTCTGGACCCGATTTACTTCCACCGCCAGGTATTATTAAAATAATTCACTGTATACCCTTTTGAGTAACGTTACAATTAATTTAAATATTCTTCTTCGTTAAAATTACAGAAATCTATATACCCAGTTCAGGTTCAAGTGGATCAGATTTTTCAGGACCACCAATTAAACCATACATCCATGAAACCGGACCAGGCTATAAACCGAGCTTTGAGCCAAGCGGCCCAGTAAAACCTAGTTACTTACCTGAAAGTGGCCCAGGAATAAGTGGTCCGAGTGGGCCAAGTGGTCCAAACTTTCCAGATTTTAAACCTCATTCAAGGCCAGATTATATTGAACCTGGTTATAAACCAAGTTTCCTACGACCTTACAAACCAAGTTATGACGGTTACAAACCTGATGATACAAGACCAGTTTTTAAACCAAATGATTACGGACCAGATTATAAGCCAGACCATTTTAGACCGAGTTTCAAACCAGATGATTATAGACCTGCCTTCAAACCAGAAGGGTATGGGCCAGATAATTTCAGACCAGGTTACAAACCAGATGTTATTGGACCAAGTTATAGACCAGATTTGAGACCTAGTGGGCCTTATTTACCTGGACCAAGCGGTCCAAGTGCCCCAAGCGGTCCCCCTAGTTTGAAACCTTCCTACGGTCCAAGACCAGAATCAGACTTAGGCTTTAAGCCCAACAGACCATCTAGACCAGGAGATAGAGTAGATGACGCTTGTAAGTAGTTATTTTATTTAATTTTGACCCGATTTCAAAAAGTTGCTCAATACTATTTTCGCACGCAACGCAATATTCGCCAATTATTGTAAACAGTTTTTGTAGTTTCGTCAATAAATTTCAATTTCTTGCCTTATGAGTTATAACACAAGTAAAATGATCCGAAAACTGTAATTTTTAACAAAAAAAAAAAAGATTTTTTTGCAGTTATAAATTTATTTATAGTTGGTAAATCAGTTATTTCTGTATAATATTAATGATTATAATATTTCCCTTTCAGTATCATTGTCATGGCGTCATTACACGGTGTCAGGGTTCCCGTGTAGGAAGGGAAGTGCGTGTGAACAAAACCTTGTAGCTGGACATTGGGCGTGTGAGCCGGAGGGCGGTGAGATTGGTATGATAATTTACAATACGTTTTTTTAGCTTCACTTCTCTATTTTATTGAATTGTTGAAGTCGGTTAAACTTAAACTCAAACTTCTAACGATTTAGTATTTGTATGTGAAATTAGTTTGTAAATAATTTGTTATTATTGAGTGATTCGATGAGGCGTCAAATGGTAGACAGGAACTCTTCAGTGGCTAAAAAATTGAGAACTTTACCAGCCCCATCGCAGTTGGTCATACTAGTATCTTTTTCAACTGTATTTTTTTTATAATTTACAAATAAACAAATCAAAATTGGTCAAGCCGTTCATATTAAAAGAAACATACGTCGATATACGAGTGTTTTATAATAATACTAGCGACTCATTTCGCTTCGGGTTCTACGCTAGAGAAAAAATCTATCTCTCAGGAACCGTACATTTTTCTGGCATAAAAAGTAATCTATGTGACAACCTATAATGTATCTCTGTGCCAAATTTCATCCAGATTCGTTCAGCCGTTATGGCGTCAAAGAGTAGCAAACATCCATCCATCTGTCCATCCATCCATCCATCATTCTCACAATCTTTGACATTTATAATATTACTAGCATTCCGCCCGCGTTCAAATGACCAAAAACCAAATTTTTAGGTTTTACATATTAGTATATTCTTACATTACAGTTTTTGTATTTGTTCTCAAAAATAAGACATTTTCCCGCGGTAAAAAGTATTCTATATGTTGACCCGGATAACCAGCTATCACCATATCAAATTTCATTAAAATGTGTCCAGTAGTTTTCTCGTGATACGGTAATAAACAGACAGACAGACAGATAGACAGACAAAGATTCTAAAAACTATAGATTCGGCCTCTGTATCGATAATAATGTCTATTATGATAAGATTTTCAAAAAAAATATTTGATGTACAGATTCGGCTTAGTTACAATTTTATTATATGTATAGATGTACATTTTACATAATATAAAATATGTTTTTATAGGTTCATGGGATTACTGCTGCGCTCCGACACACAGATGCGGATATAGTGAAGGCTTCCGTAAGCCTTGGTAAAGTATATTCATTTTATTTCTCTGTCTAAATAATATAGTGAGAATTTAAACCAAAATATAACTAAATAATAACCACATATAATGTTGATTTAGTATTTGCACACGGTTCCGCTTGCAAAATTTATTCATTTGAACTTGTTCCACTCTTAGCAGCCAGCGTTAGCTGTGTAAATTTCTTTTCGTGTTTTTTTTCTGATGTTTTAATAATTATTCTGCTATTCGAAGCAGAGACAAATCCAACAAATCAAAGATCTTAGAAATCGGTCCAGCCGTTGTTGATCAGTTATAAATGGTGTAACTAACTTGACTTTGTTTTATTTGTATATATATATATATATATATATATATATATATATATATATATATATATATATATATACTAGCAGAACATATGAAGGTTTCATACAAACTTTCATCCACTATTTTACCCCCTTATGGAGTGAATTTCGAAAAATGCTAAAACACGTATTTAATTAATTATATTGAAGAACATTTATACTAAGTTTCAAGTAATTCTGATCGTAAATGTTTTTTTTTGATTGTATTATAACGTGTGTTCCCGTTTGAAAGAGATAATCTCCCGCGGTAAATAATCGCCTATGCCACTCTCCATCCCTCCAACTATCTCTACACAATAAATCACGCCAATCTGCTAAGCCGTTTCGATGTGAAAAAAGACAAACAGACAGACAAACAAACACACTTTCACATTTATAACATTCAAGTATGGATGTACATATACTTATATGATGTCAAATATTCGCGTAAATCTAAGAAAGTTATATCCACTCCAATATGACTGCATTATCACTACATGTATTAAACAAAAACGTCTAACCCGCATTGTGTTTATGTTTGTTCATTGCTAGTCTTAGACACTATAATACGGATTTTTATAGTAATTACCAATAGCTCATCTAGATATTGAGATAATCTAGAAGAAAATATACTTAAAATACTTATGATTAGCGATGATGCCATGTAAAATACACAAACAAATCTATTATACCCGACTTTAGTTTTTTTGAAGCTGATCAAAGTCTTCTAGGTCTTCCTACAGGTTGACCTATTTTGCCACTTTTAACGTAGCCTCGGTAGCGCAGTAGGCAGCGCGTAAGTCTCATAATCTTAAGGTCGTGAGTTCGATCCTCACCCGGGGCATATTTTTATACCATTTTATTGCTAATTTTTACAATATTGTATATATCAATTATGACAAGAAAATAATCAAATATTTATATTTCAATTATCACCGGTACTCATAAACTTGAAATCCGTGTTCATATTTATTATTCATAGATCTATTTTTCAAGGAATTGCTGTATTTAAGGTCTTCATCTTATTTTTTTCTTTAAAATTAAGTGAAGGAGTGTATAATTTGTGGTGCTTTGTATCTCGGAAGGTTGGAAGAAAAAAAAAATCCTCACAACATATAAACTGGCGCTTGAAATATATCATTTTATTTTTTTATCTATACTAATATTATAAAGAGGTAAAGTTTGTGAGTTTGAAAGATTGTGAGTTTGTGACGTCGTCGGGGGTTATCTCTGGATCTACTGAACCGATTTAGATGAAATTTGGTTTGAAGATTGTTCGAGACCCTGGGAAGGACATGGGAAACATTTATTCCGGAAATCACCCCTTAAGAGGGTGAAAAGTTTGAAGCTGGAAGATCCATAGGATCCGGGTTCGAGTCCTGGATCTGGCAATGCCAAACTAAATTTTTCTGTCATAATATACACAGTAATCTCGGTTGGGACATTACTTTTCCTAACCGACTTCAAGCACGAGGGGTTCTGAATTCGTTTGTATATCAATGAATGTTCTTAGGTGTTACGTCGGCCCATCTCCAGACCAATGGCGACCTTGCAGCGAAAAATATTATCCGTACCATCAGCATAAAGTGCCCCATCCCTCTCTAGGAACACGAGGTATGAAAAATCAAATATGAATCAATAGCTTTTAGTTTAATATAATAGAAAATTAGATAAGTTATTAAAATAGTGATTTAATCTTTAAATGGAGGGGAATATGTACTGATTTAAGTGTATTAAGAACATCTATACATATAATAAAATTTTAAGCCGAATCTGTACGTTAAATATTTTTTGGAAAATCTTATTGAAGTAGTCATTATTATCGATACAGAGGCCTAATCTATAGTTTTTAGAATTTTTGTCTGTCTGTCTTTCTGTCTGTTTGTTACCACATCACGGAAAAACCACTGGAGGAATTTTGATGAAATTTGGTACGATGATAGCTGGTTATCCGGGTCCACATATAGGATACTTTTTAATGTGGGAAAATATCTCATCTCTGAGAAATCTATACTAAACGTTAAAACTTAAATAGGAACGAACCCGAGCGGAGCGAGGGTAAGTCGCTAGTTTATGCATATAGATAAGTAACTTAGCGAAATCTGTACATAAAATATTGTTTAAAACAATGACTGTAACGTATTGAGTACTAAATATAGATCCCAAAACATAGTTATTAAGCATTTTGTCTGTTTGTCTGTCTGTTGTGGCTGTGTGTTCGCGTGTCACGCAAAAAGTACTGGACCGATTTTGACTAAATTCTGTGTATTGATACCTTATTACTCGGATCAAACTTTAGGATATTTGTTTCTACAGGAAATTTGATCATATATAATATTTTGTGTTGCTATTATTGTGATATTAAAGGTTTCAATGATATTCTAAGGCATGGTTTAGGCAGCATGTGTTTAGAAATACTCTTAATTATGTAACTTTAATAAGTATTTTTTTGTATTTCCTCCAAATTTAGAAGCAGTACGTCCGCGTCCAGTAGCTGTTGATAAAAACCCATCAGACCATCCTATAACATATTTATCGGAAGCCGACAGACGTTATTGGGATGATTTATATAAAAATGGACCTAAAGCGTATTACGATAGAAATGGAAATCCTTTACCAGGTAATTTCTTGTTTTGACCGGACTTTCACTGGCAGATAGCTGATGTTATAAGGAATAACTTACGCTACTTTTATTATGAAAAAAGAATTAGGGTTCCACGCAAAAAATCAAAACCCTGCATATTGTGAACAAACTCCACGTACCTAGGGATGTACAAGTGGCTAGTATATAAATACAATAAATATATTTTACTTACCAGGCTACACCCGTGTACCAACAGAAGACAGACCACACATCAAGTACCAAAGAAACCCTCCACCACCCGCATCCGGTCACTGGGTCCCGGTGTCTGAGTCTGACGACGAGCCCGCTGGAGGGCTGGGCGTTCCTAGGTAAAATAATCTATACCGATAATTAAAATTGAAGTGTCTGTTTGTAATGTCAAAATAACAACGTTTTACTAAAAGCGTATGAAATAATATACGGTACTTATCAGGAAAAGACAATTTTTTAAATTTTTGTATGTCTGTCTATTTGTTCCGGATAATCTCTGAAACGGCTGGACTGATTTTGACGGGGCTTTCACTGGAAGTAGCACATGCTACTTTTATTTTAGAAAAAGAATTAGGGTTCCGCTCAAAAAAATTAAAAGGTACCTAGGGACGAGCCCAAGCGAAGCGAGGGTGAGTCGCTAGTAACTTCATATTATTGAACTAGTGACTTACCCTTGCTTTACTCGGGTGCGTATCTGAGTGCGTAACAATAGCCTATGTTTTACTCCAGATCATAGTCTATCTGTGTACTAAATTTCATCCATATCTGTTCAGCGTTTTTAGCGTAAAAGTAGCAACAGATATACACACATTTAAAAGCAGCTTCAAGTACGCAATAGCCATATTGGCATTGAAAATTATATAGTAGTAAATGTATGTACATACATATTTAAAAAATATTAATTTAGATCGTCAACTCTTTAAAGACACAAAGAGTTAAACATAGTTAAAAAAATGAAAGTTCAAAATATATTTTGAAGTAAATATTATAATTTTAAGCATTCGAAATCTATTATAATATATACCTAATTACTTTGTACTAATCAATAAAATATATTTACATTTTTTTAGATACTGGCCCGTATCCTACTTACATAAAGGCCCGCCTCCAAATACGACATACTTTAGATACAGCGAAACCTCACCCACAACAGAAAAATATTATACACGAACTACCCCACCTCGAGAACAATTCGACTATAAGCGTGTTGATTTGAACAAACCAATAGAAAACGATATAGAAAGTAGATCTATAGATGACGATGCACCAAGAACCGAAAAACGAATTAATATTACTAGTGATGATGATTTAGATCTGACAGTGGACAATACAACAACTAATAAACCAGCAACAAATGAAACAAACCAAAATATAACTGAGAAAGAAGAAACGCTTAATAATACTGAAATACCTATTCCTTCTCAGATTGCTAGTATCGAAGAAGACCACTTTGTAAAAGGCATTGATGGGAAATTACATGATTTTACACATTCTTTAGAAGTTTTTGACTTAGATGATATTAAAGGTGATAAGCCATGCGATAAAAAGACTTTGGAAGCAGAAGAAAGACAAATTGAAGCTATAGGACGCTTAATAGCTTCACGGCGTGGTGGGAAACTTATCGTTGAAAAACGATCTCAGAAAGATTTAGAATCGAAAAGCATATCTCTTGATAAGGACTTCATAGATTTTAATTTTGGCAACCGTTTTCCAACTTCAGAGAGACGTGGTGTGGTTCAAAAGGTGTCTAAAGATGATATTGAAAAAGATAGATTTTTAAACGACAAAAGCTTAGAAGTTAGTGAGACGACATTCGTTAGACCACCTCGAGTTTTGAGCACGACAGAGAATATTAAGAAAGCTGTAGTAAATGGCAAGGTGTTTTATGATGCAACGATACGAGATCAACGCGAGTTATTTAATAACACACGAAGAGGTAAAAACTTACGCTTAGAAGAAAACAGAGGACCTGTACCTAATGGAAGTCCTAAAAAGAAGAATATCAGAACTCGTAACACTAACCCTATAAGACGAGTCAGAAGAGTTTATAGAAAGAGATACAATCCAGAAGAAGTGAGAAAGAGATTGTTAGAAAGGGAGAAGAATAAAACGGAAGTTAAAAGCTAATGGTATAAAAGTAATGCCGCTGTAAAGTAAAATGCAGTAGTCGATATTGTTCAGCGTCAAAATAAATTTGATTAAAAAAAACTGCCTTAGATTATACGAGGATAGAAGATATGTACAGTTTGCGCATATAAGTGAAGTTGGGTTTTTGAAATTGCGCAGGTACTATCGAGTGCAAAAATTTTATTGCATTATATTATTAATTATTTATTTCTTATATACCTACTTCATAATATTTTTTTCATAATTTTAAATGAAGTTAACGCTTTGAAAAAAATAATTATTGGTATGGTATGGTTTATAAACTTCCGAAAAAAAAACTTATATAAACATATATTACTTTAAAATTAGGTCAAAATCCGAACTCAAAACGATTGCTATAATAAAAGGACGTAACAGTTTTATTTTAAACTAGTTTTTGCACGCGATTGCACTTAAGTTCTGCGCGAGCTGTACAATTCAGCCAACTTGTATCTATTTTTATATTATTTCAGAGAAAACTCTCCCTTTTTTAAATTGTTAATTGATTTCTATTGATTTTTAAGCAATTTCCCGTGCTTTCTAAATTGTAAAATTAAAAAAAAAACTAATAACAATTACTGTATTTTAACTTTTAAATAATTAATTTAATTTTTTTTACAACAATATTATAGTATTTTGCTATTGTCAGTTCGACCACAAACGTTTATTTGTGTTGAATTGACGATGTTAGTTTTATAAGGAGCTAATTTTATTTGAAGCGTAATTATAAGAAAAATAATATTAAATCATATATACATTATACTGTGTAATTTTTTTTAGAAATATGGTATTTATAGTAGTAAATAATATTAATATATATTTTGCGTTATTTCTTTACCTGCGGTTTCGAAGAAGTAACGCATTTTTATACTATTGGTGTAAAATGAAACATAAATTTTCAATATCTATAATATAAAATGAGCATTTCTTATATATACATATATGTATATAAATTTCTTTAGTGTATATCGTAAACGGCTGTAACGATTATGATCAAATTTTGTATTTAGATTAAGTTTCTCTTTTTATGTTTATCTATATAGTATTTTCTAAAAAAAAGCAAAATTTCCCAAAAAAAATATTCTGTTATATTATATATTAGTCTTTATTCTATCTGCTCTCGTGTTGACTATATTATATGGCGCCATCTCGTAAACTTTTGTGGTACTTACATTGTCGCCAATGGATGATAACTCACGAACAAGAGCCTACGGTTGCGCAGGTGTTTAAATTATTAAAAATTGAGAATATTCAGGTTTCGCATTGCATTATATATTTAAAAAATATGTTTTAATATGATATAATAGAATTTGATTTTTTTTTATATACATTTCTACGTTTTTTTATCCATTGCCAATATTTTACGGTGTCATGTAATATTTTAAAATTTTATTTTAAATTACTTTTATTTCATACAGTTTCCATTACTTTCTAATATAATATATTTATAATTTAAATAATAACGATGTTAAGAATTACATTTTAGAAAGTTACCATTTAACATTTTTATACTGTGTTTTAGAAAATAAATTATATTTCATAAATATTTTATAGCAAAGTTATATTTTTTACTGTCCTTCGCTTCGTTTCGTCCCCAGACAAACAAATCTATCCCGCGGGAACCGCACATTTTTCTGGGATAAGATGCACCTATGCGCTATTCCAGATAAGGTTATCTATCTCTGTGCCAAATTTCATCCAGATTCGTTTAGCCGTTCTGGCGTGATTGAGTAACAAAATCCATCTATCTTCACAAACTTTCACATTTATAATATTAGTATGCATTATATATAAGTACTACGTTACGACTAATAAATTTAAATATGCTATAGATTTCCGACTAAAAAATAATATATACGGAGTTTACCAAAACAAATACAAAAGTCAAAAATACTGTCTCTACTATCCTTAATTTTGCCATTTTAAATAAAAAAAAGTGAATTAATCTTAATAAAAGATAGTTTTATTTAAAACTAGCGACTCACCCTTGCCCCGCTCGGATTCGTCCCTACTTACATTTTAATGTTTAGTATAGATTTCTCAGAGATGAGATATTTGTCCGCGGTAAAAAGTATCCTATTTTTTTTTTTTTTTAATGAGACCGGCATACCCACTAAAACCCAACTTTCCCCCTCTGCCGCCATGTGGGGCGCCACGGGATCGCTCTCGCATACAACCGCGACGCCCCGACGGTTGGCCGAAGCCACCAACCATGAGGCCGCCCCAAGCGGGACAACCCCATTATGGGAAGACTTACAACCCAAAAAGTGAGGCCGCTCCTAAGTCCACTCTGCTGATCAGAGAAGTACCCGGAGCAGCCCCACACCACACAAACACCGCCCACCGAAGTGGGCCACCTCCAATCGGCTGCAGAGGACAGGGAGAGCGGCAACGAAACACCGACACTCCTCTTCCCCTGCAGCCCCACCGCGTCCGCCATCAAACGGTGGCGGCCCCGTCTAGGCCGCGGAAGGTAGGGAGAACGGCGCACCGAAATACCGGCACTCCTCTCCCGCCGCGGCCTACCCCTCCGCCGAATGCGGGCCTGCGACCACAGTCCCGCAATCGGCACCCATCATCCGGTTGTGGGACCAAGCGGTCCCACCACCGGTGGCCGCAACGTCTTCGGCTCGAGGCCTAGACGAGCGGCCCCATCCAAGCCATTTGGTCCGCGCCGGATTTCTCCGGTACCACCCGCCCCTCTAAGCGGGTGGCATGCCCCTATCCGCCACCTGGGGACGCGCCCGGTAGGAGTTGGCTTCTCCCCCGGGCGGTAAAAAGTATCCTATATGTTGACCCGGACAACCAGCTATCACCATACCAAATTTCATCAAAATCCCTCCAGTGGTTTTTTTGTGATGCGGTAACAGACAAAATTTCTAAAAACTATAGATTTGGCCTCTGTATCGATAATAATGTTTGTTTCAATAAGATTTACCAAAAAATATTTAAAGTACAGATTCGGTTTAGTTACAATTTTATTTTTCATTTTTTATTTTACAATTTTATTTTCGGCTTAGTTACAATTTCATTTCTGAGAAAAAATACAAAAACTGCAATGTAAGAGTATACTAATATGTAAAACCTAAGAACTTGGTTTTTGGTCTTCTGAACGCGGGCGGAGCCGCGGTTATGTCCCGACATATTATTATTATTATCATACTACGATTTACGAGAGCAGAATAATTCTACAAAATTATATGAAACGGGTGAAGTCACTAGAAAACACCAGTTTTTTATATAAACTACGTGACGTGACGTAAATATTAATATCCACTTTTTTATTTATAGAAAAAAAGTTAAATATGTATGGTCCATACAATGTCACGTTCGACAAATGACTTGTAAAGCACGAGATTAGCGCTCGCGACAAGGAAAGTAAACGCGATGACTCAACTTTTGTGTTTAGGGCTGGTGATTATTAAGAAACACGATTGTACTATTATATTAATTATTATATAATATTTAATTTGTAATATTCCTTCTCCGCTTGGGTTCGTCCCTAGTTATGTTTTAACGTTTAGTATAGATTTATCAGAGATGACACATTTTCCCGCAGTAAAAAGTCTCCTATATGTTGACCCGGATAACCAGCTATGATCATATCAAATTTCAACAAAATCTGTCTAATGGTTTTCTTGCGTGCTCCCAGATATACAGAAAAAAATCTAAAAACTAACTATAGATTCGGCCTCTGTATCGATAATAATGACTATTTCAATAAGATTTACTAAAATATATTTAACGTACAGATTCGACTCAGTTAGAATTTTATTATATGTAAACATGTAGTGCAGTGTAATGGCATTTTTTTACTATCAGTAGTCTTTGTTCCACTCCAGGTCATAGTTTATCCGTGTGCTTTTCTTCAAAATCTCTTCAACCGTTACAACGTGAAGGAGAAGCAAACTCACAAATTTTACCTCTTTCTTAATGTATTCAGCCCTTTTTAACGTCCCATTGCTGGGCACGGGCCTCCCTTCAATACGAGGGGATCAGGCAATAGTCCACCACGCTAGCCAAGTGCAGATTGGCGGACTTCTCATGTCTTTCGAAAACTTGCTAAGTTCTCTAAGACATGCAGGTTTCCTCACGAAATGGAAATGATTCGCACATGAAAATATCAGAGGTGCGAGACTCGGGATTTGAACTCGCTTCACTCGGTTTCCCAAGCGAGCGCGTTACCACTGGGCTACCACTGCCTTAATATTAGTATAGATGTAAATATTTTTTAAGAGACAGCCCTACACCGACGCGTGAGTTCACGACTCCCAACAGATTTGCATTGGACGCCTATTATATGCAGCTAACATTGCATTTCACCTGAGAAAGTGCTTTCGTAGAAAGTAACTTAGGGACATAAATAAGACATTGGCAAGAATTTAACAAAATTCAAACAAAATATTATGGTATCTATACATATAATAAAATTCTAACTGAGTCGAATCTGTACATTAAATATTTTTTGAAAAATCTTATGGTATTCATCCCTTTTTAACGTCCCACTGCTGGGGGTGGGCCTCCCTTCAATACAAGGGGGATCAGGCTATAGTCCAACAAAACATATTTTTAAATTATTGTTTGTCTGTTTGTTCCGCCTAATATCTAAAACGGCAGGACTAATTTAACTGGATTTTCACTGGTAGATAGTTGATGTTATAAGGAGTAACTTAAGTTAATTTTATTTTAGAAAAATGATTAGAGTTCCGCTGAAAAAAATAAAAAACTACCAATAAAATAAATACGGAGGCTAGTATAATAAAAAGTGAAAAATTAAAAAATTTAAACAATCCCCGACCATCTTGTACCGATTTACATCAAACATAGCTAAGAACACTCCCTACTAATTCATCTTTCAAACAAAAAAAACAATTATTAAATAAAACTATCTTTTCGGAGAACTATCTATTCTTTTCGAAATAATCTGAAAAGATAGTTTTATTTAATAATGTCAAACATTCGCGTAAATCTAAGAAAGT